AAAAGCTAACAAGGACTCACAATGTTTATCCCAGTTGCTCTCCAGCCCTGGGTTATGAATGTTCAGAGACCAGGATAAACAAGTCTATTGTTTGGGCCTGTTTTTTTTTCCATTGCTGTTGTCGTCCTGAAGACAAACTGTTGGTTTTTTCTCCTTTCTGTTCTTAGCTTGTCTTTCATTCCGGGCACAAACTATTCTGGAAGAATCCTTTAAAAAAAACTTGTTTAAAATTATATATCAGACCCACCCATCGACAATTGTAAAAGGTTCCCGGTGATTCAAGTATGATTTCCTCCTAAACAGTTGGATATTATTATTATTATTTTCAGTAGTAGAAGGTTTACTTATTGTTGGATCTCACCAGCTTAGCCACTTAAGTCCAATAACACTATAGGTAGTCCTTGGCTTATGGCTATAAGCCAGGTCCAATTTTATGACCTGTTTTGCCAGGGTGGTGGAGTGAATCTTGAGATTGTTAAGCAAATCTGGCTTCCCCATTGATTGAGCTTGTCAGAGGTCAGCTGGGGAAGTTTCAAGTGGCTATTGCAGAATGCCGCAACCATCATAAATATCTACCGGTTGCCAAGCAGCCAAATGTTGATCTCCCGATTGTGGGAATTCTACAACCATCCTAAGTGCAAGGACCGGCTGGAAGTCACTTTTTTCAGCGCCATTTTGCCTTCGGTCGCTCATGGAATGTGGCACGTTGAGGCCTGCCTTTATTTTTGCACAATGTGAATTGAGCAAAAAGGAGAATCACCATCTTCTTTCAAGGACTCCCATAATCCCTTGCGGAGTGGAGTTTGGGCAATGGAATGGAGCTAGCCGAGTGTTTAATGGCCAGATGCCCTTCCAGTCACCAATGCAGAGTTTTGTTCAGCAGATATATTCTCATTGTGCCCAGAGAGAGAAATATCTGCAAATTGGGGTAGGTAGGAGGCAGGAATGAAAAAAAAATCCTTTTATGTATGAACCTAGGTTACTTACAGCCTTATGTAAACCAGCGTCAGGTACCCCTCCCCCCCAAAAAAAAATGGCGGAAGGGGGAAAAAACTGGGATGCATTTTTGGAAGGAAGATTTTTTTTTAATACTTTTTTTAAAAAACATAACACTTTAAAAAATCTTGGTTGGCAGTTCAAACAGCCGACGGAGAAGGGAAAACATCTTCCTGCCTTCATCTCACTTAGAAGGAAGGATGCGTAACTGGAAGAGATCTCTATGTTGGGAATGGCCAAAAAATACTAGGAGTCGGACGATTCAGGAGGATTGTGTCTGGTCTGGCACAAGGTGTGTTTGTGGGTCGCACTGCCTTGCCTTCTTGGGTTTAGTCACAGCCTCTTACCCACACAAGGTGCCGTCATGCACCATGCATGCACCATGCAGCAAACAGCGGGGATTAACTGAAAAATAGCACACAAATAACAACTAAGAGGAAGGCCAATTTAGCGCAATGAAAACATAAGGGAAAAAGAAATAAAAGAATATATATGTATATATATCTACTAGCTCGATACCCGTGCTTCGCTACGAAACTATGTGATCTGGCTTAGTTTTTAGGGAGGAAAATAAGGAAAAGAAAATTCTGCCTCTGCCTACCAGCATCCATTGGTATCCGTCTGGCTAGTGTCCTGTCAGTGTGTGAGAGAGTTGAGCACTGTTTGGAAACTGAAACAGTATTTGCTATGTGAGCAAGAAGGAGACAGCAAGGAGCCTGGGCGTGGCTTAGCTCAATTGTTCTGTACTAAAGCTGCTTGGTGCTCTGAAACTAACACTGAAACTGAAACTCCTCTCCTCTGCTTGTTTTGCATTTGGAAGAGATTTCTTTTCAGGTGGGGAGTGGGAGTATAACTCAACGATTACAGACCAGTGGCACTCACTCCTATCATCATGAAGTGCTTTGAGAAATTGGTCTGCCGGCACATCATTTCTGGTCTTCCGCATACATTTGATAAACACCAGTTTGCATACAGAAAAAAATAGATCTACAGAGGACGCTATAGCCATCACTCTTCACACTGCTCTGACTCATCTAGAACAGCGGGAGGGCTATGTGAGGATGCCTTTTGTGGATTTTAGTTCTGTGTTTAACACAATTCTTCCACAGAGACTAGTGTCTAAACTTCTGGACCTTGGGCTTTCTAATTCAATCTGTTTTTGGATTATGGATTTCCTGTCTGTCTGCTCACAGAGGGTCAGATTAGGTAATCATACCTCTTCAGCCCTTATTCTTGACACTGGTACACCACAGGGTTGTGCGTTGAGTCCCTTACTCTATACTCTTTATGTGCATGACTGCATTCCCACTCACGTTAGTAAATACTATTGCTAAATTTGCAGATGGTACAACAGTGGTGGGACTTATCTCTGGGGGTATGTGTGTGTGTGTGTGTCTGCCTACTGAGATGAGGTGGACCGGTTGCTTTCGTGGTGTGGAGACAACAACTTGCCCCTCAACACCAATAAGACCAAGGAGCTTATAGTGGATTATAGAAGGAACAGATCATACATCCAGCCCTTGCTTATCAATGGAGACCGAGTGGAGCAAGTGGCCAGTTTTACGTTTCTGGGTGTTACCCTAAAAGAGGACCTGACCTGGGGTGCCCACATTGCAGCCCTGGTCAAAAGGGCCCAGCAAAGATTATACAACCTGAGGCTTCTCAGAAAACAACAACTGAATGAGAAACTGCTGGTGACTTTCTACCACTGCACTATAGAGAGCATTTTAACATACTGCACCTCTGTATGGTTTGCCAATTGCACAGTGGCAGATAGGAAAGCACTCCAGAGGGTTAATGTCATTGCCCAGAGGATCACTGGTTGCCCTCTCCCCTCTTTGGAAGAGCTTTAGAGCTCCCGCTGCCTTAAGAAAGTTCAAAACATTCTCAAAAATCCATCTCATCCTGGGCTCCCTTTTTTTTTTGACCTATTACCATCTGGCAGACGGTACAGAATAATAAAAACAAGGACGAATAGGATGAAAAACAGCTTCTATCCCAGGGCAGTAGCTCTGCTGTATAGTACAGTATTGGTGTGGTGTTGGGGGTTTCCGATTCAATGTGTGAAGGGTGAAGGATGTGTGTTTGTGTTTATTTTCATGGTCATGGTCATGATGTGCACTGAAGATGGTGTTTGATTTCGTTGTACGAGGTGCAATGACAATAAAGTAAACTAAACTAAACTAAACTTAGCATCAGAGCATGTGAATAATAATAATATAGGAAATACTAATGCTTGGATGGTCATTTCGGAAAATCCTTTCTCAGCGAGCACCTAGAAGCGGAGAGGAACATACATGCCAGATTTCAAGTTTGTAGGCTTTACAGTTCTGGAGATTTTGTGATGATGAGTGTGAAGGGAGCCAGGAAACAACCAATCTGGAGAAGACTTGGTGAAAGGATGAACATGGAGAAAGTGTGAAGATTACGGCCTCTTTTATTTTTGAGAAGGCCTGCTTAGTTTTCGTTTGGCAAAGTTGGGGGATCAGTGGGTTTTATCTGACCTGCTGGGTTCTCCTTCCCATATCTCATGGGGTGGGGGGGGGAATGAAAAATGTCCCTTTAAGAATCTCAATAACTTACTGTTTTATGAAAAGCAGCATTAGGTACGGGGGTGGGGAACCATGGTGGAAGAAGATGGACAGTTTCTGAAGTCAAAAAGATTGGTCTACCTTAGCAACATTAATATTAATAACATTAATAGCAATAAGATGTGTTAATGCGTTGCTAGCCAGGGAATTCTGGGGGTTGAAATCCATACATCTTAAAGTTGCTAAGGTGGACACTATTTTAGAGTTTTAATCTCAGGCTGAAGCACGCCATGTCTTCAACTCTTCAAATAACGCAAACAAGAGAGGGCTATTTTCTTCCTAGTTGACTGAGGTAAAAAGCGACTTGTATCCCTAAAGGAGTGACTCGTTGAGGTAACAGAAGTCAATGATCTAAGACAAGGGTCTCCAACCTTGGAAACTTTAAGACTTGTGGACTTCAACTCCTAGAATTGAACTCTGGGAGTTGAACAAGTCTTAAAGTTGTCCAGGTTTGGAGACCCCCCTGGTCTAAGAAGAGTGAAGAGCACATGGCTTCAAGGACAGATTTCCCTTCACGAGGTGAGGTAAATAAGATGGAATCAACAGTGGGACCAGATGACATGATCTAACTCAATCGGCTTCCAAGGCTGACATCCATCTTCTCACTGCAGCCACCCTGTAGAAAGCATATCGTGTCTTTCTGGTCGGGCAGTTCTATAAGTTAGATATGGCCAGTTTTTATGATGGGAGCCAATGTTTTGGACTTCTGAGGTGACTTCAGAGACTGTCCGCCATCTTCCAAGTAGCAAAGCCCAAGGAACATTGCTATGAAGTGATGGGAAATCACCAGATATTGATTAAACCGTTTTGAGGAACAACCCAAGAGATCCTATCACTCTTACCCAGGGGTGGGCAACTATGGCCCTTTTATGAATTATGGACTTCAACTCCCAGAATTCCTGAGCAAGCCATGCTTGCTCAGGAATTCTGGGAGTTGAAGTCCATAATTCATAAAAGGGCCATAGTTGCCCACCCCTGCTCTTACCTATCCATGCCCCGAACAGCCCAGCTCCCTAAGAGGATTTTTAAAAAGAGCTAAGGATGGTCAAAAGATCTCAACTATGGAGAAAAGGAGGACGGAAGAGGCCGGAGGTGCCCACTTACTTTTTTCTCTCCTTTTCCCTTTTCAGTGTCTGTGAACCTCCTGCTTGTTGAGTCTGAGACTGGAGCAATTCAGCGGCTGTCTTCCTCTGCTTAAAGGCGTTGACTTCATCGTCCAAGGATTTCTTCTTGTCCTCCAGCTTCTTCTTCTCATCCTGGTGCAGCTTCTTCAGACGATCAAATTTCTCGTGGAGCTGGAATAAGGGTACCGAGGCACACAAGTCGATACCAATACTCAAGGGAAGATCCTTGGCCTAACCAGGGATATCTAGAACTCATCTAGGAACCATGAGGTTCCTCAGGAACTTACTAGGCCTGGAACAAAATGATCTAAATACAGACCATCTCAAAACTCTCAAGGAAGAAAGTTATGGGGCTCAGCCATCCCATAACCCACTTGCTTTCTGAAGGGATTACAGGTGAGACGCAGAATCTCCTGAATCAAAAATCTGTAGCGTGGGTTGGAGCACATTTGACGTTTGAATAGCCTGCTCAACAAAGTAGCTGGGACAGAAATACAAAAGTGATAATAGGAAAGCTCGAGAGAGAACTTTGATTTAATTTAAATGCCTCTCCGAGGTAGCCTAACTTGCCTTAAACCTCTCACAATTTTTGTGGCATTCTGAGAAACCTCCCTCCAGCTGCCATGATATTCTCAGATAGTCTCTCTTGGCTTTGCATAGAAAAGAGTCTGCAAGAAAATAAGGATTGCAAGAAAGATAATGAGCCACGGTGGCGCAGTGGCTAGAGGGCAGTACTGCAGGCTACTTCTGCTGACTGACGGCTGCCTGCAATTTGGTAGTTCAAATCTCACCAGGCTCAAGGTTGACTCAGCCTTCCATCCTTCCGAGGTGGGTAAAATGAGGACCCATATTGTTGGGGGCAAATAGGCTGGCTCTGTAAACCGCTTAGAGAGGGCTATAAAGCACCATGAAGCGGGATAGAAGTGCTATTGCTAAGGATTGAAAACTCTACTAATTTTAAGTGAGGAATAGACCTCCTCAAGGTCAGGTCTGAGATGTTGTTGTGGGGCAATTTGCAGCTTGATTCAACCAAAGTTGCCTTGTTGTGAGGGAAAGAATGCATTTAAAAGCAGAAACATTGCTGAGTCAATCTTGGTCATGATTGATGCGATACCATTTCAGCCACTCTGCAGACCCTCATCAATTCAAGAGTCGCTTCGAAATGAGATAGAGAGCAAATACATTCAATCAATCTATCAACCAATCAATCAATTCACCTCTTTTTCAGCCTCTTTCAGCTCTGCTTCCTTCTCTTTCACCCTCTGGACAAACATCTGTCTCATTTCCTCTTCTTTCTTCTGAAGTTCTCCAAGAAATTCGTTCCTTTTGGCCTCGTAGGTTTCTTGTAAACTACAGCAAGAAGGTGGAAGAAGGAAACGTTTGAAAAGAGGGGGTGAAGAAAACCAGCCAATTCAGCTTGAGTCACCTTACAGCTCATGTGATCCAATACCTTATTAAGGTCTTCTGCTTGTACATCTGCAGAATCAAGATTATACAGGCAATCCTTGACTTATGACCACAATTAAGCCCAACATAGAATAGAGGGAAAATAGAGAAAATAGAAAATAGGGAATAGAGAATGGAATGGATTGGATTGGATTGGATTGGAGTGGATTGGATTGGAGTGGAGTAGAAAAGAGAAGGGAAGGGAAGGGTAGGGAAGGGAAGGGAAGAGAAAGAATAAGGAAAGAATGGAATGGAATAGAATAGAATAAGAATGGAACAGAACAGAACAGCATAAAAATAGAAATAGAAATAGAAATAGAAATAGAAAGAATAGAATAGAATAGAATAGAATAGAATAGAATAGAATAGAATAGAATAGAATAGAATAAGAATAAGAATAGAATAGAGAATGGAATGGAATGGAATAAGGAATAAGGAATAGAATAGAATAGAATAGAATAGAATAGAATAGAATAGAATAAAGAATAAGGAAAGAATGGAATGGAACAGAACAGAATAGAATAGAATTCTTTATTGTCCAAGTGTGATTGGATACACAAGGAATTTGTCTCACGTGCATAAGCTCTCAGTGTACATACAAATAACAAAGCGCTGTATCCTATATAACTGACCAAACAATAATTGTTTGAAATATCTCTTGGCTTGGTAGTGCCATGAAGGAATCCAGACCAAAGTTTATGTTTTTCAGAACAAGTTTGGTCCTGTTTTTTTTCCCTCTGTGATTTTTTTCTCCTACCAATGTTGTATTAAGTAGTGCTGTAATGCAGGGATAAGTGTTAGAGTAATGTGTGAGTAACAAAACGTTACTCATGCAGTAAACAACCACCATCATGGCTTATTTTTTGGACAGCCCCTTCCTTCCATGGGTGCCCCTGATCTGGGTAAGCCGTACCTGAATGGCTTGCTGTCGGGATCGGTGTCCTTAAATCCCATTTCTTCCAGTTTACACCGTCGATATAACTCATAATGGCGTGTGTGGGTTTGTTCGCGAAGATCTTCCATGTTGACCCTGATCAACATCTCTCGGAGTTTCACAAAGTCACAATGGGCTTCATTTTCCACTGTGTGGGTAGATTAAAAAGAGGGCGACCGATAAAGTTTATCGTGATTGTGTGTTGCTCTACAACAAGGGTCCTCAAACTTGGCAACTTTAAGACTTGTGGACTTCCAACTCCCAGAATTCCTCAGCCAGCATAGCTGGCTGAGGAATTCTGGGAGTTGAAGTCCACAAGTCTTAAAGTTGCCAAGTTTGGAGACCTCTGCTCTATAACATCGTTCCTCTGTCTTTGTGACTTTGAGATGTGGAGACCTCAACTCCCAGGCTCCCCCAGCCCAGTATGGCTCGCTGGGGAATTCTGGGAGTTGAAGTCCATCTACCTTCAAGCTGTCATGGTTGAAAACAGAATAACAAATTTACAGTGACATCTAAGAAATAAACAGAGTGAACCAAAGAGCAGATATGTTTTTTTTCCCTTTCCTTTCCAATATTTATATAGGCTAAATATGAGATGAGAACAGTATTTACTTATACAGTACAGTTAACATGAACAAGAGAATATTTAACGCTTTAAGGAAGGAATTCTGAGAAGTTTCCACTCCCCCAAACCCAAAATAAATAAATATTTCAATTCTGCGGTCCTCTTAACACTGATGATGTTACTTATTTTGGTAATGAAATATCTGCAAGAAAACAACCATCAGAGAATAACAGAATAACAGACTTGGAAGGGACCTTGGAGGTCTTCTTGCCATCCTCTTGCCTAGGCAGGAAACCCAATACCATTTCAGACAAATGGTTGTCCAATCTCTTCTTAAAAACCTCCGGGTATTGGAGCATTTACAACTTCTGGAGGCAAGGAGTCCCACTGGTTGATTGTTCTCACTATCAGGAAATTTCTCCTTATTCTAGGTTGCTTCTCTCCTTGGTGAGTTTCCATCCGTTGCTTCTTGTTGAACAGAATCAACAACTCTAAAAGCTATTACACCAGTGGGAACTTTTATGGCACCTCCAATGAACCTATCTTGATCAGGATCAGCTGCCCACGGTCAAGCTAACCCAACAAGGAAGAACATTTTGTCAAGATGCCACCAAGGCAGAGTTGGGATTCAGCCGGTTCGGACCAGTTCTGGAGAAGCGTGAGCGGAAATTTTGAGTAGTTCGGAGAACCGGCAAATATCACCTCTGACTGGCCCCGCCCCCATCTATCCTCTGCCTCCCGAATCCCAGCTGATCAGCTGGGTCTTCTTTGGTTGCCCTGCCCAGGAGAACGGAGCTGGAAAGCAGGGTAGTGGGGTGGGGAGGGAATGGGGATTTGGCAGTATCCTTCCCCTGCCACACCCACCAAGCCATGCCCATAGAACAGGTAGTATTTTTTTTTGAATCCCACCACCGCACCAAGGTCTCTTCAACTAGCCACGTTACTTACCCTGCACTATTCCCCATGGATATTGACGTGCTTTCATCATTTTATTTCCTATCTTGATTTCTTCTGTGCTGCCAATGATGGCAAAAGGTAAATGAGCCTGGAGCACCCCAAGAAAAACAGAGAATGCACTTCCAATATTAGTTGATATATCTGACATTATAAACAGGAGTCACAGTTTTATCAAACTTGAGTGGATTTCACGGTTTCTCCCTATAGCAATAGACTGCAATAAGGTAATACTTTGCATACATGGTAAATCTGTAAATAGTACCTCTCTGCTTGCATTTTATTTATTAATTGTTATTCATTTATTCATTCAATTTCTACAGTCACCCAATTCAACCATATGGCGGCTTACAGTTCAAAAATTATAAAACCATTAAAACAAAAACAATAAACTAGTAAAAAGCATCTGGAAAACTTTAGTAGATTTGTTGGTGTTTTTATTCCCATCCCCCTTATTCATTTTATATCTATGTTAATTTAGTTATCTGATAATGTTTGCTAATGATAGTTCAATTAAAAAACAAACTATAATCAAAATATACTTTCAACATTATGGATGAAGGAAGGAAAAATAGAAGACAAGGAAGTCCTGCTTGAAAGTCTGGGATAGAGATCAGGTGTGAATCTTTTTTTTCCAATGTCCCAAAGGTGTTTTTTCAAGAGGGAACTGGACTTTCATGGTTTTGCTTTGAAGAAGTTTTGCTTCTCATCCAAGAAGCTTCCTCAGCTTCTCTGAGAAACTTCTTCAGCTTCTCTCAGAACTGAAGAAGCTTCTTGGGTGAGAAGTGAAAAGTCTTCAAAGGAAAAACCAGACAGTCCAGTCGCCTTTTGAAAAAAAAACACCTTTTTCCAAATGCAATATTTTATTCCAGAAGTGATTATGGTTATTGCGGTATTATCTTACGTTCATGGTTCCGTTGATTTCTGACACGGATTCATCGTCAGTAGGGAATTGGTAGATTTGGACTCCGTTGCTCACGAGTTCACTGGTGATCTTAATTTTGAATTTGGTCAGCTCGCTCTTGGAAATGGCGTCAGATTTGGCAATAATAGGAATGATATTCACCTGCAGGGAATCCCAACGGAGAAAAGAGGCATTCTGAACATTTAAACAACATCAAGTTTGATTGCATGAAAATTCCCAGAGCCATTTTGCCTAAAAGGTAGAGCAACGGAAGAAGGGTTGTTCCATAGCAGGCAAAACCAGCTGGCATTCTCTTTTACATTATTTCTGGATATATATGTGTGTATATGTGTATGTGTATGTGTATGTGTATGTGTATAGATAGATAGATAGATAGATAGATAGATAGATAGATAGATAGATAGATAGAT